CTGATGTGTCATATAATGAAAGTGTGGGAGAGAGTGATGGAACGTCGATGCCGATTGCAAGATATAACAGAGACGTCAGAGAATCGATTTGGATTTATATCGAATAGGTCAACAATAGAAGCGATCTATCTTTTAAAAAAAATAATAGAAAAGTATAGAGAAAAGAAATGAGACATTCATATGATTTTTATCGATCTTGAGAAAGCATATGATATAGTACCTTAAGATATAATCTGGTAATAGTGTTGTTTAAAAAATAAAAAAAAAGGTGACAAAAGGGTTATTGATGTGATTAGAGACATGTATGAATTGCTTGCTAGAGAGACAAGTGAATTTCCAATTACTATAGGTTTACACTAAGAATTAACCTTAAGTCCTTATCTTTTCGCTTCAGTTATAGATGAGTTGACGAAAAATATTCAGGATGATATACTTGACACTAAGCTAGAGATGTAGAGAGAAACACTTGAATCTAAAGGATTTAGGATAAATAGAACAAAGACTGAGTACATGGAGTATAATCTTAGTAACAATAACAACAGAAGCAAAGGAGAAGTAAAGATTGAGAATCAAAAACTACCTAAGAGTGGATATATTTTTTTATTTAAGATCAATTATCACAATAGTAGGAGAGATTGGAGCGAATGTGATTCATAAAATTAAGACAAAGTGGCTAAAGTGGAGAAGTGTGTATGGGGTAGTGTGTGATAAATGAGTACCCACTAGACTAAAAGAAAAAAATTCTATAGAACAGTTATTATACCAGCAAAGTTGTATAAGACGAAATATAAGGCAACTAAAATATCATATAGATAAAATGAATGTTGGTGAGATGAGGATGCTAAAGTAGATATGTAATAAAGCTAGATAAGATGGAATTAAGAACGAGTATATTTGTGAATGGATAGGAGTAACATCAATAAAAGATAAGTTAAGAGAGAATAGATTGAGATGGTAGTCATATATAACAGAGGCAGTAGTGAAGAAATATAATACAGTGACGGTTGATAGAAGTGTTAGGGGAAGTGACAGACCTAAATTCACATGGGCGAGTGTAGTAAATATATATATGAATCTCCTTGATTTGACTAACCAAATAGCCGTTGATAGAGTCGAGTAGAGAATAATGATTCATGCAGCCGATCCCATTTGATAGGATTTTAAATTTGGTTTGGTTATTTGTGGTATTGACAACACAAATTGTCATAATTCACATATGATACACATGTACATACAAAAAAAAAAAAAAAAAATGATGTGTATTGTAGAAGGATCCAGAGATAAAGGGAGACAGACAAAACTTAAGAACACTCAGCCTGATTGAAGTCCAATTGGCCAAAGTCCACCACCTCCTCAGATAACAACCAAGAACTTACTCTAAACACAAAAGCTGAAGCCCAAACTGAGTTCAACTTCATCCACAAACAAGCAGAAAATGTTGAAATTTAAAATCATTACAAATTCACAACTTAGATATAAAATTCAAGTCTCAAGTACACACTGACAACACCAGCAAAAAAAATAAAATAAATAAAATACACGCTGACAAAATCAGTTCAACAATTTGATACACATGCAGTGCCAGTTTGCACTCCACATTTTGAGCTACTTCACATTGGTTATGATTAGATTTGCAGTTTCATTAGGTTATCAATCACAAGATAGTTTTATAAGGTTATCAACCATGAAGTATGGCTGCGGATACGGATATTGATACGGATACATTACGGGTACGTCAGTACGATAAGACTTTAAAAAATAAGATACGGATATGACATCAATAAATTTTTTTATTTTTAATAATTTACAGTTTGAGATTCAATCTACAAATCAAAATTTAATACCAAAACTAAAAAGAGAAATTACAAAACCCAAAGAGAAATCATAGTTCAACAATATCAATACCAAAGTAAAGTCCATAAGTTACTTTAATGCCACTGAATAAGAGAAATTACAAAACAAAATTTCATTCCAAAAGCAAGATAAACAAAATTTAAAAACTTGAAATTTCAATTTTAACTTCTATCAACTTCATTATTGAATAATACATCTTTCATCTCTGACACATCAATTAAAGGATTTGTAATTTCAAGTAAATCAAAACTTTAATAAATTAAAAGTATATCTACTAATGTCTTATAGTTTGGTGTCCCCCCGATGTACCCAGTATCCACAAAGTATCTAACTATCAAAGAATGTAAAAAACATACCCAGTATGTATTTCAAGTACTCGATATGCATGCAACCATATTGATATGCGTACTAAACCAAATCAAACCATGCTTTAAGTCTCATCAAAAGGGGTCAGCTATATAAATTCTTCTTTTCCACTTGACTCTATCCAAGGCTATTTCGTTAATCAAATTAAGAAAATTCATATCTCCATTTATTACACTAGTCCACGTCAGTCTAGGTCTACCCGTTCCCCTAATACTACCATCCACCGTCACTGTATCGCATCTCTTCACTACTGTCTCTGTTAGTCTCCGTTGGTCTCTGTTGTACAACACCAAACCATCTCAATCTATTGTCTCTCAACTTATCTTCTACCGGTACAACTCCTACCCATTTTCAAATATACTCATTCCTAACTTTGTATTTTCTAGTCTTGCCACATATCCACCTTAGCATCCTCATCCCAACAACACTCATTTCATCTACATGTTGTTTCTTAATTGCCCAATATTCCGTCCCATACAATATCATTGGTCTAATAGCCATTCTATAGAATTCCTCTTTTAGTCTAATGGGTACTCGTTTATCGCACAGTACTCTAGACGTACTCCTCCACTTAAGCCACCCCGTCTTAATTCTATGGACTATATCCGCTCCAATCTCCCTAGTTGTTGTGATAATCGATCCTAAATAACGAAAAGGTTCACTCTTAGGTAGTTCTTGGTTCGCAATCTTTATTTCTTCTATGCTTACATTGTGATTGTTACTAAAATTACACTTTATATACTCTGTCTTAGTTCTGCTTATCCTAAATCCTTCAGATTCAAGTGCTTTTCTCCAAATCTCCAACTTAGTGTTAACTCCTTCTCTAGTCTCATCCACTAATACGATATCATCTACAAAAGCATATATCATGACACATCATCCTAAATATTGCACGTCAACTCAATCATAACTAAAGCAAAAAGATAAGGACTTAAGGTTGATCCTTGGTGTAACCCTATAGTAATTGAAAATTCACTCGTCTCTCCAACAGGCGATCTAATAGTGGTCACCACACCTTTATACATATCCCTAATCACATCAATATAACCTTTTGTTAACCCTTTCCTCTCTAACACCCACCAGATTATATCCCGATGCACTCTATCATATGCTTTCTCAAGATCGATAAAAACCATATGAATGTCTCTTTTCTTTTCTCTATACTTTTTTATTGCTCTCCTCTAAGGATAAATCACTTCCATTGCTAAGCATAAACCCAAATTCATTCTTTGACACCTCTATTATATCTCGCAATTGACGTTCCATCACTCTCTCCCACATTTTCATTGTGTGACACACTAACTTGATTCATCTATAGTTGTTAATTCTGGACATCACCTTTAATATAATATATTGACACTAAAATACTCTTTCTCCACCCTTGCATTTTCCTAGTCAACAAAATCTTACTAAATAACCTAGTCAACCAAACAGTTCCCTTTTCACCCAAACATTTCCCAACTTCAATAGAAATTTCATCGGGTCCTAAAACTTTATTTGATTTCATCTTCCTAAGTGCAATCTCTACTTCAAAGTACCTAATCCTACGATAGAACCAATAGTCTTGGTTTTCGTTATTACTTGCTACTTGCTCCCTTTTTGACCTTCCTTCATGTTTCTCATTTAACAACTTCTTAAAATAGTTCTTACACATCTCCTTAATCTCCTCATCCTTTACCAACTCCTTAGAGTTCTCACCCTTAATGCACTTAACTTGATTAAAATCTATTGTTTTCCTCTCTCTTATCTTAACAAGTTTGTAAATCCTCTTCTTTCTCTCCATACTGTCTAGTCTAGTGCATAGATCATCATAAGCTTTCAACTTAGTCTCCTTTACTATTTTTTTGACCTTCTTATTGGCCAATCTGTAGCGCTTAAAGTTTTCCTCAGTTCTATCAATCTGTCACTTTTTAAAGCTCCCCTTTTTCGTCTTTATTATCACTTGGACCTCCTCCCTCCACCACCAAGTTTCCCTAAAGTTGAGTCACTTTCCTTTCGACTCTCCAAAAGCTTCCCTTGAGATTCTCCTCATACAACTAGTCATCGAGTTCCACATAATGTTAGCATAATCTTCCAAGTCCCAAAAATATCTTCTTTATCCATTCTATTATTAAATGTGTCTAGTTTATCCCCTTTTAGATCCCACCATCTAGTCCTGCGACACCCACTATCTTTCCGAGCTTGGTATTGCCCCTTTAAAGCAAAAATCTAGTATCAAAATTCTATGTTAAGACGTCAGGCTCTTTTCAGGAATCACCTTACAGTCATTGCAGACGGTCCCCTTTTCTTACTAGAAAGTAATCTATCTGGTTCCTAATTGACTCACTCTTGAATGTTATCAAATGCTCCTCTCTTCTTATACATAATATTGGCCACCACTAGGTCAAAAGCCAACGTAAAATCTAAAACTCTCTCCAACCTCATTTCTATCACCAGACCATACCCACCATGCACCCTCTCATAACCTAGTTTATCTGCTCCACCCAGTAAATACCCAGTACAAGTATGACAATATTTTTGGAGTAACCGTGGTTCATTGGTTATCAATCGCAAGATGTCCCCACCAGCAGACTGTAACACGGATCAGTACTTTCACCAATAACATATCTAAAACAAATCACTCATCAAGTGTTTTCCCTTCTTAAAACCAAATAACCATCAATCCAAACTTCAATTTCAATAATAATTACAGACTGAATGGGCTCGTAATAAGTGAAGGTAAAAAAAAAAATATGGATGCACAAGTTAACCATCAAAACAAGGAGAACCTACATATGAAAGAGACAAAGCAAACAATGATATAAAACCGAAACCTAATTCTGAATTTTGAAAACTTTCCCATCCAACACAAAGATATAGCACACCAACAAAAAGGAAAAACACTTGCCACTGCAAAATCAACTGAAAAGCAGTATTCAAAAAACTGACTTCAGTTGCTTTCTTAAATAACACTAACATTTACAGAAAATCTCAAGATTGTTTATATATGAGGCCCATTGACCATTATTAAAGAAACTTGAGAGTAGAGAGTTACACACTTCCATGACCCAACTCCTTCAAGTTCCAGTAGCTTCACCAGTCCACTCCAGCTCTTCTCCATGCTCTGTTTCTGCATCGAGGAAACCAAAGAACATGCATAATTTTGTGCAAAAGGGTTCAAGCCTATTAATACAAGCTAAAATAGAATAATGAACAGAAAGAGTCCAAGACAACTTTTCATTTTGTTGCATCAATCTTAAGATGGATAAAAACTTAATGGAAGTCGGTGAATGAATTTCAAAATAGGTTAAAACTTAATCAATCACTTCCTTTCTGTAGATCAACAAAGAAAATAGAGCAGTGATTCTCAAACCCAGTTATAAACCAAAAACAACCGAGTTGGTAGTCATTCATTAGCTATTCACTGTGTGGGGCAATGACAATGCATTGTAAAGGAATGACCCATTTGTGGGCTTCGGCCATTCTTTTGGCCTACACATCATTTTCCAAGAAAATATATCATTTATTTCTATTGAAGGCCATAAATCAACAACTACATGAATAGATTTTAGCTATCCAGAGCTTCCATTCAGTGGATATAAGGTCAAAGAGAGAGTGAAAGCTAGGTAGAGATGTAGAGACAACAATTGCACTGCCAAGACAATGGTGGATCTAACTTTTCTTTGACATAACCAAATTTTTGGACTTATCATTGGCAAAAAAATTTCATTTTTTGGAATGCTATGATTGGAATATCATTAGGGTCCGTTTGGATGGATGTGGACTTGGAATGCATGAATTTGACATTAATTATTGGAGGAGAATGACTCAAATTAGATTTGATAGTTTACCTATGAATTTCAAGATCGAGTTGAATAACTTTATCATGTCATGATGGATTTGAACTAACTATACAAAAGTAGTTATTTGAAATCATGCTAAGGAATTCTAACCACAAGGATCCTACTAAAGTACATCATTATCTCAAACTATCCTCTTTTTTTTTTTAAAGTTTCTCTCCATTTATAATAGCCAACTTTCCAACATTTTTAACCTCATATCCCTTGATTTGAAATCCATCCATCCAAACCGACCCTTAAAGTTTTGTTTCCTAATGGTAGAGTTTCTTGAACAAGGGAGATCCATTCTGGGATAGATGAACTGTATCATTTGAGTTTTACTCTCCCTCTCCCAACCATCCTTGGTTTAGATCAATTACTCTTTGTATCTTATTGATTGAATTTGAAGGTCAAAAAGTTGGGATACTTACGTGTAGGTCCTAATAAGTAAACTTTATTGTCTAATAGATTCTATGAGAAAAATTTGTCATAAAAAAATGTCATTAATTGTAAATTTTAGCGACAATTTATAAAAATTATGACAAAAAAAAGTCACTAATTGTCAATTTTTAGCGACGTATGTAAAAAATTGTCACAAAAAAATTATTTTTAGCGACAATTTTACCAAGACTTATTTTCAATAGGACTTGATGGAAATTAAGTCCAACTATTAGGACCTATTGGTAGTTTATCCCAAAAAGTTCCCAAAAACAGTTGTAAACTTTCAAAGAAAAATCGAAAAAGATTACGAACTTAATACATCTACTCTCCTTTATAATTGGGGTGAGATAAACTCATGATAGAAATTCACAACTTTAATTTTCGTAGCAACAATTCTTCTAATGAAAACAAATACAAACACAAACAAAAAACTGCTTACCAAATTAAAGAGAAAAAAAAATAATTCCTCACAATATGAGATTGAATGCCATAACTCTTATTTGTATTTTACTTCTTATTGGTGCTGTTGGGAAATCTGCACAGATAGGATCGCATACTTGGTCACCCAATGCTATGGAGGGTCCCACTCCAGTATCTGCTTTGATTCATGCAGCTACTATGGTAACAGCTGGCGTTTTCATTATAGCAAGGTGCTCCCCTTTATTTGAATACCCACCTACAGCTTTGATTGTTATTACTTTTGCAGGAGCTATGACATCATTCCTTGCAGCAACCACTGGAATATTACAAAACGATCTAAAGAGGGTCATAGCTTATTCAACTTGCAGTCGATTAGGCTATAGGATCTTTGCTTGTGGCATCTCTAACTATTTAGCTAGTGTCTTTCACTTAATGAATCACACGTTTTTCAAAGCATTACTATTCTTGAGTGCAAGTTCAGTGATTCATGCCATGTCGGATGAGCAAGATATGTGTAAGATATTCCCTTTTACTACCATGATGCTCATGAGCAGCTTATCTCTAATTGGATTTCCTTTTCTAACTGGATTTTATTCCAAATATGTGATCTTATAGCTCACTTACACCAAGTATACCATCAGTGGGAACTTTGCTTTCTAGTTGGGAAGCGTCTCTGTCCTTTTTCACTTCTTATTACTCTTTTCGTTCACTTTTTCTAACATTTCTAGTACCAACTAATTCACTCAGGCGAGACATCTTACGATGTCATGATATGCCCATTCCTATGGCCATTCCTTTAATACTCCTGGCTATCGGAGTCTCTTTGTTGGATACTTGGCCAAAGTGTGACCTGTTAGCCCACAAGCAAGTATTGTGACAAAGTGGTTGTTGCTCACCCAACACGATCGTACGAGGTCACAATTCACCCAAGATGATCATCTGGGGTGAAAAAGAATTGGGGATTGGATGCAGGCTGAACGAACAACTGATTCTATGAAACATTATGTTATTTACTAAGAGTGGTTGCTACTATAAAGAGGGAAGCAAACTCCCTTATTGAGCTAGCAGGGATGAGGCTCACTGCCAACAACAAAAGGAGCTCCATAGGACAAGGAAAAGGAGCCCAGAAAGAAAGCTAGGGGGAACTGCCTGGGGGAAGAATCGGTATTTTAACACCAATCACAAATTTCATGTTGGACGCAGAATTCATAATGTAAGTTATGGACAAGGATTACTTTATCAACCATCATTTACTTCAAAGATCCCTTGTGAAATATTTTTCAAATACAAAAGTTCAGTATTCTCCCATGAATTAGTGAATTAGAAAGAATTATTTTGTATAGAATAATAAGTAGCAGGTCAATCTTCATGAATTTGATTGTAAATGTAAAATACTTATACAAACAAAATGTAGGAGAGATAAAAAAAGATGCAGGGTCATTCGTCTCATAGGCTAGTCAAGCATGGGATAATTCATAGATCTTTGGGTTTTGATTACCAAGGAATAGAGACTTTACAAATGAAGCCCGAGGATTGGCATTCCATTGCTATCATTTTATATGTATATGGTTACAATTATCTACGTTCCCAATGTGCCTATGATGTAGCACCTGGTGGCCTATTAGCTAGTGTGTATCATCTTACGAGAATAGAGTATAGTGTAGATCAACCAAATGAGGTGTCCATAAAAGTATTTGCCCCAAGGAGGAATCCCAGAATTCAGTCTTTTTCTGGGTTTGGAAAAGTGTGGATTTTCAAGAACAGGAATCTTATGATATGTTGGGAATCTCTTATGATAATCATCCGCGGTTGAAACGTATAGGATGGCCCTTATACAAGGATTATATTGCTCCCAATTTTTATGAAATACAAGATGCCCATTAACTGATAAGAAACTAATCGTCACTTTGACAATTCTAAACATTTAAGGATTGTATGTTCTGTTCTAGATAAAATAATTCATTTGTCTTATAGTATGGCTATCCCTGCTAGAATATGTCCTACATCGCCTGGAGTTGCCCATTTATGCTAGTTATAAGGCTCTAGTTTCTCTCTCGTTAATACTTGAGTTTTGAGGAAAAGTGTGGGCTAGGCTTTTCTATTTGGTATCAAAGTTTGGTTGGGCCTATGAATGGTGTGCCGTTTGTCCAACTATTGCATGTTGTGGTCCAGGAGGATGTGTAGAAATGCGTCCCACATCGCCTGGAGTTGCCCCATCTGTGCTGGTTACAAGGCTCTAGGGTTTTACTCTCACTTGCAACTCATCGTCTTCATCGTCCTCTTCCTCCAATCTCACCTCTCAAACCCTGGTCTCAGCCGAAGACCTTCTTTTTCAGCAGCCAGCCATGAGAAAGACACGTGGTATGGGAGCTGGTCGCAAATTGAAGTCCCACCATAGAAGACAAAGGTGGGCTGACAAGGCATATAAGAAGTCCCATCTTGGCAATGAATGGAAGAAGCCTTTTGCTGGGTCTTCCCATGCCAAAGGCATTGTCCTCGAGAAGATTGGTATTGAGGCTAAACAGCCAAACTTTGCTATCCGAAAATGTGCCAGGGTTCATCTGATTAAAAATGGGAAGAAGATTCCTGCATTTGTCCCAAATGATGGTTGCTTAAACTACATTGAAGAGAATGATGAGGTGTTGATTGCTGGATTTGGACATAAGAGGCATGCTGTCGGAGATATTCCTAGTGTCAAATTCAAGGTCGTTAAGGTGTCTGGCGTCTCTCTTTTGGCTCTTTTCAAGGAGAAGAGAGAAGCCAAGGTCTTAGTTTTATGCACGGAGATTGTCCATTTCTATCTTTTGGTAGTTTTGTTGGAAGTATTAGAATGGTACTCTAGATTGTTTGAGCAGTTTACAAAACTTATTATCCATTTTCCAGTTATTGTATTGGCATTACATTTTGACCTTCAAAAAAAAAAAAAAAAAAACCATTCCAACACACCCTTCTGGACTACAACATACAGTAGCTAGCACACCAGTCACAGGCCAAATCAAGCTTTAACACCAAATTAAAAAGCCCAACCCACACTTCTCTTTAAAACCTAGGTATTAAGGAGAGGAAAGTTAGAACCTTATAACTAGCACAAATGAAACAACTTTAGGCGATGTGGGACACATTCCAACTATCATCACCACTTTTCAAAAAAATTAAATTGTTTTTTTTTTCGTGTTTTTTTGTTTTTAGTATATTTTTTTACTTTCTAGATGCATCTAACTTAAATGCATCTAAAAAATAGAATATTCATGAAAAAATATTTGAAAAATTCATCAAATACCAAAAATAATATATAAAAAATAGTACATTTTCGCATTTTTGTGTATTTATTGAATTTTTAAAATATTTTTTCACAAATATTTTACTTTTTAGGTGCATCTAGAAAGTAAAAAATTACTTAAAATATTTAAAAAATTACTTAAAAAAATGAAAAAATAAAAAATTCAATTTTCGGGAGATCAATCGAAACGAAACAAGATATATCATTGGGATTCTCAAATTTTGAAGATACTTATTTTGGATGATCCAAGTTAATAGGATGAACCAAATGAGCTCGTTCAGGGAAGGTAGGTGGGAGGGGAAGCAAAACAGCTGTGTTGGTTCAATCAGGAAATGGTAGATCATGCTTGTTAGGGTTGAATGATTCAAGGCTTACTTAAGAATAGAGACGGTACTTTCTAATTTGAAAATGGGTTTATATTACAATGTATACGATAGGATATATAAGAAAAAGAAAATAGGTTTCTCTTGAGCTTAGTTTGATTGATCTTGCCACTTTTTTCTGGTTGGTAGGTCTGTCTTTCTCTAGATCCCGCTGAGCTGAAAGGCATTAGACATAAATAAAGAATCATTTAGATCCGAACCGGGCTCTTGAAAGCTCATGTGACCGGAGGTGGGAAGATATGGGCTGAAAAGCATGCTAATAATCACCACAGGCCCTAATGCCATGAGTGCTCAACTTCGCCCCAGAAATGGAACAAACTAGAGAGTCAGTATGCAAAGAGAGGTCTCCCTTGTAATAAGAGTGAAGAACGACCCCTTTGAAGATCCAAAAAAAAAAAAAAAAAAGTAGTGAAGAACGACCCAACCCGGGCACAAGAAGAAAGGAAGAGTGGTAGGGCAATGGTACCAGACATTAAGGAGAGAGACGTGAATTGGTACACTTCACACTGACTATATCGCCTTGAGCTCTACTGAATTAAATGGCTTTGTTTGAAGGCGTTTGCTACTAAGCGTTGCCCTAGAATAGTGTTAGGAAAGGAATTACAAGGTTCCAGACTGAAAGCAGGTTGAATCTCCTATAAACTCCCATGATGTGGTAAAGGGAGGAAATTAGGGGAAGCAATGAGTGGAGATTACCTTGCAGAGAGCCGGATGAGAGGAGACCTTCACGTCCAGTTCGGAGAGCAGGGATATCCTGACCCTACTATCATTATGCCTTTACAATGTTACTTGCATCATTCATCCACAAACTCGAAATGCCATGAACTATTGTTGTAGTTATTATTGTGCATGTTTGCAACTCTAATAGTAGTTGTACGTTTATTCATGAATAAATTTTAAAATGTTAACATTGGAAATTGGGTTGTCTTTGACCTTTAGATGATAGAAATTTAAATGCAACTCCAACATCTTAACCAACAACCCAAGATTTTTCCCAACAATAACTATTTTCACCCCTAATTCACTCCTAAATATTTATACAAAATAAATAAAGGAACGACAAAACAAAAATTAATAAATGATATGGAAGTTGCACATCATCCTTGAGATATGAAACCCTACAAGAATAGTTGTTAGGCGCCCAAATCTTAACCAATAACCCTAAGGAGGTCTAAGAAGCATGGACATAGACAAGTGACAAGACACAAACATACCGACATGAATTTTTTTATTTTAAATTTAGGTCACAACACGTGAGGGACACATGCAAAACACATAATTTATATGTTTATTTTATGTCATACATAAAGATAAACAATTATTTCATGTCATGTATGAATAAATATTTTAGTCTAAGATAATAATATTTCGAAGTCTGAATGAGGAGAACAAGTATAAATTTACATTGTTTTTGTTTTAATGTTGGATTTTAAGTTATTTTATTCAAACTTATAATGTGTTTTATGTGTGTCCAGGTGTTTGAAAGCATCCAATGAGTTCTTAGGAGGAAGGAAAGGTGGCTGGACCATTGTCATCCATAGAATGACAAACTTCTGATAAATTTATTGGACTTCAAAGAAGACACCAAAATCTCACCTTTTTTTTCTGTTCTTTTCTTTTCTTAGGTTGACCATTTCGTAATTCATTCCAAATATTTGTTTCCTCAAGAACTCTAATGTGAATGAATACTTCAAAAATTTTTGCTTTTAACATTTGACTGAAAACAACAAACTAGACTAGAGATATCCCCCATACAATCAGAGGCCAAAGGCCTGCCCATAGCTGAAAGGTACTTGCCAAGACATTGTAAATAAGCAGGCATCAGGAGGTACTTCTAGACTTCTGTATCTGGATGATTAACTACAAATTTTGGTCTCAAACATGCATCCAGTACCAAGGAACATTCTTACTACCAACCATTGCTAAATAAGTCAAACTTTACGAGCTTAAAATTTCATCTCATCCCATTCTAGTAGCATTTATTTATCCTTTTCTGTAAGGAAAATGGTGTGCAAAAAGAAATTTGTATAGAAAACACATCTAGAACAATGCGCCAGCGGCATTTTTTAAATTACGAGGACAATGGTGTGTGTTTGATGTGTGTGTTTGATTTGAAATGAAATGATCACAAGAAGTCACATAATTCTATATGAAAATTATATACAAAAGTTTTGTTTGTGTATCATTACTCTTTTTGTGAACTTAACCAACTCTCTACTAATTATAAACCAAACCAAACCAAACCAAACCAAACCAATCCAAGCCAAGCCTTAAGTCTCATCAAATGGGATCGGTTATCTGAATACTTCTTCTCCACGCGGCTCTATCAAAGGCTATTTCGTTAGTCAAATTAAGTAGATCCATATCTCTATTTACAACGCTAGCCAACGTTAATTTAGGCCTACCTGGTCCCCTAACACTTCCATCTACCACCACTGCATCGCATCTCTTCACTATTGCCCCTGTTGGTCTCTGTTGAATATGACCAAACCATCTCAATCGATTCTCTCTCAACTTATCTTCTATCGCTACTCCTTTCCATTCTCGAATACACTTATTATTCTGTCTTGTCTAGTCTTGCCACACATCCACCTTAACATTCTCATCTCAGCATCACTCATCTTATCTACATGTTGTTTCTTGGTTGCCCAACACTCTGTCCCATACAACATCGCTAGTCTAATAGCCGTTCTATAAAACTTACTTTTTAGTCTAGTGAGTATTCGCTTATCGCGCAGTACCCCAAACGCACTTCTCCACTTAAGCCATCCCACCTTAATCCTATAAACCACATCCACATCAATCTCTCTCGTTGTTGTGATCATCGACTCTAAATAACAAAAATATTCACTCTTAGGCAGTTCTTAGTTCTCAATCTTCATTTCTCCTCTGCTTTCATTGTTATTGTTACTAAATTTATACTCCATGTACTCTATCTTAGTTCTGCTTATCCGAAATCCTTTAGATTCAAGTGCTTTTCTCCAGATCTCCAACTTTGTGTTAACTTCTTCTTTAGTCTCATTCACTAACACAATATCATCTGCAAAAGCATACATCATGACATATCATTCTAAATATTTCTCGTCAACTTATCTATAACTAAAGCAAAAAGATAAGGACTTAAGGTAGATCCTTAGTGTAACCCTACAGTGATAGGAAATTCATTTGTCTCTCTAGCAGGTGATCTAATAGTGGTCACCACCCATTTATACATGTCCTCAATCACATCAATGTAACCTTTTGTCGCCCCTTTCTTCTCTTACACCCACCATATTATATCCCGAGACACTCTATCATATGCTTTCTCAAGGTCGATAAACACCATTTATCTTTTCTTTTCTCTATACTTTTCTATTATTCTCCTCAAAAGATAGATCGGTTTCATTATTGACCTGCCAGGCATAAACCCAAATTGATTCTCTGACACCTCTATTATATCTTGCAATCGGCGTTCCATCACCCTCTCCCACACTTTCATTATATGACACATTAGCTTGATTCCTCTATAGTTGTTGCAATTCTAGACATCTCCCTTATTCTTATAAATTGGCACTAAAATACTCTTCCTCCACTCATCTGGCATGTTCCTAGTTAACAAAATTTTGCTAAATAACCTAGTCAACCAAGCAACCTACTTTTTACTCAAACACTTCCAAGCTTCAATAGGGATATCATCGGGTCTTAAAGTCTTATTTAATTTCATCTTCTTAAGTGCACTCTCCACTTCAAAATTCCTAATCCTGCAATAAAGCCTATAGTCTTGATTTATTGTATTACTGACTATTTTTTTCCCTATTGACGACTTACCTCCATAATCCTCATTTAATAATTTCTCAAAATAATTTTTCCATCTCCTTAATGTCTCCATCCTTTACCAATATCTTAAAATCCTCACTCTTGATGCACTTAACTTGATCAAAATCTCGTGTTTTCCTCTCCCGTATCTTAACAAGTTTGTATATCATGTTATCTCCCTCCTTGCTATCTAGTCTAGTGTATAGGTCATCATAAACTTTCAACTTAGTCTCTCTCACTACTTTCTTGACCTCCTTATTAACCAATCTATAACTCTTAAGGTTTCCTCAGTTCTATCCTTCCGTCACTTTTTAAAGCATTTTTTTTTTTTTGCCTTAACTACCGCTTGAACCTCATCCCTCTATCACCAAGTTTCCCTAGAGCTGGGTCCCCGTTCCTTTCGACTCTCCAAACACTTCCCTTAAGATTCTCCTCATACAATTGGCCATCGAGTTCCACAGTGTTAGCATCATCTTCCAAGTGGTAGTTATAAATCAGAAAATTTTCCAGTACCTCATCTATCTTCCACTGAGCCAAACACAAAGCACCAGATTCATTGACTTACTTAAGTTCCCCTTTAAGTTGTTCTATGCATGTTTAAGAATTAAGACTGACACAACCCCACATTCCATCTAGAAGTTACACTGCTCCCCCACTTTAATTGCAAAGTACCACTTAGACTAACAGCTGGTGATTTTTGCTTTAAGGTTTATGTCATCAAGATGATTTCCCTTTTTCTGTTCTAAAACTTATTGAACAAATAGTTAATAGTATATAAATGGAGATAGTGTTTAATCCAACAAACATACCACCTTCTGGCGTCCATTGTGGGCCGTCTACAAACCAAATCCATAAGATCTATGCAACAAAAATATTAAAAGACCTCATTAACTTGTAATTTAGGGCTTGTTTGGCAAGTAGGGTTGGGCTAAAATAGCCACATAAGACAAAATAGACTATTTTAGCCAAATAGGACAAAATGTTACATCCAATCCATAATCATTTCATATTTTCTCTCACAAAAGTCAATAAAACCAAAAAAACTATCCCAAATGAGGCTTTTTAGCCCCAGGCTAAAATAGCCAAAAAGCCAACGCACATCCCAAACGAGCACTTAGAAGGATAGCTCCACACAGATAAATGTGAAGAATTGTTTAACTTTTAGCAGATAGATTTTTCAATTCACCTGTGTTGTCTGGAAATTTATTAAAAAGAAGGGGCTAAAAGACAACTCTCCGTGAGATGCATAAAATTTGAAAGGGAATTTGGTTTAACATTTCTTGACCAAAATTAGTCAGTTCCTTGATGCCTATGGCAACAAATTTTCATCATTCTAGCAAGGGTATAGCTGTTTGCACAACTAAGCTATGTCCAAGTTAGACCATTCATTTTCACCTCCAACAATTCAAAGATACCCAATTCATTACCCTCTACTGGCTTATCATTTCAAACTTTGATGTAACATAGGTATTTCACTATGAAGTGAAAATTCATTCACATAATTTGTACTTAGCTTTGGTCATTGTCATGGAGTCTAATTCATTCTTTAATATTTCAAGAAAACCAACAAAAAACTATTCTTATATCTGGAGATTCACGAATGAATTTTTAGTAGCATAAAGGATGTACTAACAAGTTTCTAATGTCAAATTCATGTATTAATTCGTTTAATTTTTATGCATGAACATTAGCCAAATGATTAATAATCACAAGAAAAATAATACCAAACCAAACCAAACCAATCCTTAAGTCCCATCAAATGGGGTCAGTTACATGAATCATTCTTCTCCACACGGTTCTATCAAAGGTCATTTCGTTAATAAAATTAAGTAGTTTCATATCTCTATTTAATATGCTAGCCAACGTCAATCTAAGTCTACCCCGTCCCCTAACAATTCCATCTACCGCCACTGTATCGTATCTCTTCACTACTGCCTCTGTTGGTCTCCATTGAATATGACCAAACCATCTCAATCTATTCTCTCTCAACTTATCTTCTATCGGTGCTACTCCTACTCATTCCCAAATATGCTCATTCCTAATTCTGTCTTTTCTTCTTTCACAAGAAAAATAATAAGTAAATAAAATAGCCAGGCAATTTGCAATGAGTAATCAGCTGTGCAAACACACTGAAGCATGTACATGAAACTTGAATAAATGATCTACATTATGCTTCAAAGGAGACTAGATCTAAAGAACAAAAACGCAAGCATACAAAGCCTATTTACTATTTAAGGTATTCACATGATCCACTAGTCAAAGCAATCCTTTAGAATTCACAAATAAAATCTGCATTCTATTCTTTTTTATAATTACAAATAAGCTTAGTTCTACATAATAAAAACATGTCCTAGTAACTTGGCAGGCTGTTTACATTGTGCATTCAACTTCCTCTACCAACAGCCAAAAATTTTGTCTAACGCAAAGTTATAAAATCATTTGGTATAAGAGCTAGCCACCACATTGAGTCTGGGATCAGATGCACCTACGCAAGTATGTGATCAGATGGGTGCAACTTTGTGGTTCGAGCTGTAGAGGGCAACCTATAGGTTGGATTAAGATACCTGTTAAGGTGTTGAATACTGATAAGTGAGTGAGGCCACCGAAAGGGAAAAGGCTACCATTGGGTTAATATCGATAGAGTGGGCCACTGTGGATGTCGACTGTGGAGTGCAGTGGCATGTTACGATTCCACATCAGAACACAAAAGGCTTGGCATTTTGAATATAATCTTCTTTAGCACCCTTGCAAGGTGTTTTTTTTTTTTTTTTTTTTTTTCTGATAAATACCCTTGCAAGGTGTTTTTGAAGTGTGAGTTCTACCTAAGGGGTTTCAAACATACCTAACAAAGTAAAACAATACATTTCAAGACTTCTTTGTCCACTTGGCATAACAAAAATTGACAATTATAGTGAAAAAGAATAGAAGCAAACCAGAAAGAAGAGTTGGTATGTAAATGGCATAGAAACATGCAATTTGCTATTTGGCCTAGAAATATTACAGATTTTTTATTAAAAAATGTTACTAGTTAAATACCTGCCTCAGCTACTAAATGGCCTCATAAACTTCTTTTCATCCATTTTTATAAATGCATAACTCCGAATTCTATATATACAATCAAAACATTTACACGATGTAATATAAATAAATAAATCATGCAACAGAGTTATTGAAGAGAAATCAAGAAGGACCAATAATGAGCAAAGAACAACCAGAATACATAACAACGTAATAAACCTAGCTTAAACTAAACAATGTAGTTCATTCCAGATACATAAAGTAATCGAAATAAGTACATATCTATTTTGAAATTTATAAAAGTCTCATACCTGTAATTATCTATTGGAGCCTGCAAACACCTCCAACAGTCCACAACAACTCTTCCAGAATGGTGTTTGCACTGGTCGTGGGGCCGACGCTACCAAAGGCTGCAAATGATTTCAACAGAAATATGATAAAAGATAATAGGAAAGGTATCATTTTTTTCAGTGCTTGTTGAAGCATGCAAATGAAACTGAACTCGGCAACAAGAAAGAAGGTGTAAGTAGTACCTGGCTATCAGAGGCTTCAGTAATCACAGAATCTTTTATAAGGTCTGCACCATTACTATTGTCAACTGCTGGAACACTGGATGACGGAAACAGTTTGTCTTCATCCACTCGTGCTGAAGAGGCCGTTGCAACAGAAGAAACTGCAGAACTCTCAACTGCTGTCGAAATCACATTATCCTTCTTTGGTTGTGATCCCATATCCATCACAACTGGTAAAACCCCTAAAGTCTCATTTTTTCCATTTTCCTTCAACCCCAATTCAAGCAAATTAGAACATATAGCACTCTCCACTGTTGAACTATCATTTGCACGAACCACCTCTTTAGATACATTCTCTGACCCAACAACAGGGATAGTTTCCACAACTGAATTATAGGTTTCCTCTGTCAACTTCCCAACAACCAAACTGTAAGCCTCAATAACCGGAACATCATCTTTAAGTTGAGCAACTTCCGGCAAATCAACAGGCTCGACTAAATTTACAGAAGGGGCATCATATGACTGTTCTTTCGGCTCATCCGCAGCCAAATTATAAGCATCCATAACCAGAACACTATCAGTAACTTCAGTGACTTCCGGCAAAGCAGCTGGCCTGACTAAATTTACAGAAGGGGTATCATATGCCTCTTCTTTTGGCTCATCCACAGCCAAATTATAATCATCAATAACCGAAACACCATCAGTAACAGGAGTTATTTCAGGCAAACGAGCTATTTTTACTACATCCTCAAAAGCATCCGATTCTGCAACCGAATTAAGAGCATCCTCTTTTGATTCCCTGTACTCTATCACCACTATGTTTTTATCAACAACATGAGACTCATCGTCCGAACTACTGCTGCTGCTGCTGGACCTCCCACCATCATGAGACATTCGTACACCATGTGATTCCTTCACAGACTCAACATACTCAATACTACCGTTCTTGCTGTCAGAATCAGCCTCATGCTTCAACTCCCAATCAATTTGAGCATTGTCCTCCTTCATCGCCATTTCCTCTCTACTGTCTCCGTTGCTGTTAACACCTACCATGGATTCACTCTCAGTGACCATTGATCTAACAGATGAAATGTCCTCTCTCTGCTCCATCCCCTCCTCTTCTCCCTCAGTAAATCGATGCTGGTGGTTATGGTGGTCCTGTGATGCAGGAGAGTTAGCCTCTCCTCCATCACTCTCTTTCTCATCATGGACTTTCAGATCTTCATCTCCTAACATAGTATGATTGATTCACAATAATTCAAGACAAAATTGAGTAAAACAAGACACATCAAGTAAAAAACTCCCAGAATTCTCAATTATAAACTGAGAAAGGATGATTAAGAGAAAGATGGGTGTGCATGCATTGATTGATTGGGTTTGTGGCAAAAAGTGATAAGCTTGGTACCTTTAAATAAATCCAACAAAATAAAAGACAAATTAACACATACCCATCATACTATTTTCACACAAACACACGTATTGATAATTAGAAAACATACATATACTAATAAGGAACACCCAAAAAGTGATCTGAGCCAGAAACACTCATATAAACAATTACATACACTTTTTTTTTTTTTAAGTCAAGCCAACCAAGAAACATTAACTTACTAGCCAGACTACCCAACCCACGAAGCCAATTTAACAAGACCAAGCCAATTGCACAAGCATATGAATACTTAAAGATATGAAAGATAAGATTGTGGGAGTGATTGAGAGATGGGTAACATGTGGATCGGCTGAGAAAAGGGAAGGCCAAAGAGGGTTACCATGAGAGTGAGTTGTGGAGTTGTTGGCGCCCTTTTCCCTCTTTTTCTTTGCAGCTTTTCTCTTCTTTGAACCTGATGGCATGATTGGTTCTGCTGAGACAAATGGGTATGTAGATCCTGGATTCTCTCTCTCTCTCTCTCGTCTCTCGTCTCTCTTTCTACTTGTTTGGATTTTGCATTTGTATTTCAAACGCAAAGGGTGGGGACTGCAAGATATGGGTGTGGTGTGGTGTGGCGTGGTGTGGCGTGGCGTGGTGTAAATATTTTTCATTAAATAGAATCTCTCTATCTCTCTCTCGAGTCCATAAATGGTCAAGTTTTGTTCTATTTATTTTATTTTTAAAAAAAAAATTATGGAAACACTGTTTCGTTTGTTTTAATATAAAATATTTTTTATCAAAAATATCTTATTTATTTTTTATTATTTGATTGAGCAAAACGTAAGTAAAACGTCTTTTAAGAAAAATATTTTTATTATTTTGTCAAAAGTAATTTATCTTTAAAATTTTCGTAAATTAATTTTTATAAAGTTGATTTTCACTAACTATCTTTTCAATATATTTAGTTTTTTCAAATATCATACCTCGGATACATGGGTATCCCTTCATAGGAGAAACCTTATCATACCTCTATTGATGTCCATTGTTGAAGTTTCATTCTATAAACGTTGAGAGTTCCAAGACCTTCTTTCAAGGTCGACTTTGATATTTCGGGCCCAAAGTGTGCTCTGAGTATGAGACGTCTCAAAATAGTAGACGTTGAAGTTTCATTCTATAAACATAGAGAGTTTCAAGACCTTCGTTCAAGACCGACTCTGATATTTTGGACCCAAAGTGTGCTCTGAATATGAGACATCTCAAAATAGTGGACAATGCCCTCGTTTGGAAAGAAAAAGTTTGGGATTTTTTTGATTAAAATAGTCACACAAAAAAAACAAAATAGATTAAAAAATAAATAAGACAAAATGTCATATCTAAACTATAATCATTTTATTTTTTCTATCATAAAAGTTAAAAAAACTAAAAAAACTCATCTCAAACGAGATTTTTTAGCCCCGGATTAAAATTGTCAAAAAGTCAACCCACATCTCAAACGAACCCATGAGTTTTTCAAATACTATCAATTTTTATTTTTTAATTTCTACTAAACTAGATAATTATAAAATTAATAAAAAAAATTAATTAAATTTGAAAAAGTTAAAAGAAAAAATTTTAAATGGTCACTTTGGTCTAATTTTTGTTTATATTATTTTTTTTCCCTTCAAATTTGATCTATTATTTTAAAATTTTCAATACCTTATTATCTAGATTTTTTTTTTTATAAAATTACAAAAGTGATTAAAAATAACTATTGCCAAATGTTTTGATGGGGTGAAACTAAAAAGCCAGTGGTGTTTTGAAAAGTTAATAAAAAGTTGATTTTTTAATTTTTTGGTTTTTTTGGTGATTTTTTTTTGCTGAAAAAGCTAAAAAGCAAAAAAATTAGCTCTTTTAGCTTGTTGCCAAACTGCCCCTCGGTTTATTATTGCATTCTGAATACTTATTTTTAAGTCTATCAACGCTAGACGATTCTAAAAATCAAGAAAAAAATTTGACAAAAAAAAAAAATTTAAAAAAAAAAAAAAAAAACCATGAAAGATGAAAATAAGTCACATTTTTTAATATAAAAATTGACATATTTGGTCTTTTCGAAGTATTTTTTTAAATATTTAAGATCATCTAGTCAAAATGAATCCAAAAAGTAAGAAAATTTGTTGTAAATTTTTTAAAAATTACTAAAGATGAAAATAAGCCGAACTAAAAAAGCAAAAAATTAAAAATTAAAAAAAAATTCCACAAAAGGCCCTAACATGTGATATGCTCATTTTCAAATATATATATATTTTTTAATTTACAAAAACTAATTTGCTGGAAAAAAAAAACTCATTATTTTCCTATTTTGTTAGGAGAAAATAAATTTTAAAAATTCAAAATTATTTATTTTGAAATTCATTTATTTAAATAATTTTTAATTCAATAAGAAAAAAAAATTTAAGAAATCTGAAAATTTAATCAATGAGACTAAATATTTGGGCTCATGTTTTTTTTAATTTTTTTTAACACATGTTATATACTAATATGGGGCTAATTATTAGTTGTTACATAAGAAATGAGCAAACCAAACAGGGTTAGTCGGATTGGTCAAAACTCCTACATTTTATTAGATGCTACGTGTGGGTCTTATTCTCATATGTTAATTGGGACTTTCTCTTTTTCTTTGAGAGTTTCTTTGTAAAAACTTATACTGTATTTGATCTTCAATACTACGATTGTAATTTATTGAATTTTATTGTATATTATATGAATCAAATCTATAAAAAAAAAATAAAAATAGGAAAGGAGCTAAAAAAAATAGTAACAGATTATTTTTTTATAAGATTTGTACTCTTTCACACTAGTAATAGTATGAAACCTCCCCCCTCTCCCCCCCCCAAAAAAAGAGTAAGAAAAACATGATCAGATTTATTTAGGCATTGTTTGGGAAGTTAGACTTTTAGTCAAAAGTTAATTTATTCTTTTTATTTCTTTGGATATCTTTTCATAAAAAATTAAAAATTATTAAAAAAATCAATTTACAAACCAACCCTTATAATATAAGTTACACTATATAAGTGTTAATTTGAAACACACAAATTATTTTATTTTATTTTTTAAATTTTATCTTCATCTAAAATTTTGAGCCTTAATACTATTGCAATAGAATTACATAACTGCCAAGTCAAAGATGAAGTAAAATAAGGAGAATTTTTTTTAAGGTTCTTAATATTAAGATTTTATAAGATAAATGATATATAATATTTTTATAGTAGGTAAGGTCCCTTATAGAGAAAATTTGACTCAAAAGAATTTTGCTTAACTCGGACGAAATTTCGGCCTCGACTCAAAGAAATTTCAAAATTCACAGCCAAAATTTATCTGAGTAGAGTAAAATTTCTCTGAGTTAAATTTTTTTTGTGAAAATATTGAGAGATCTTAGCTAATAAAAAAAATATCTTGAACCTTTCATACTATACAAAATTAAAGAAGAATGTTTCATTAATTTTCCATAAAATGATTGGATAAGGTATTAAATTTTGAAAACAGCCTTGCACCCATTTTATAATATTAAATTATGTTGCAATACTATTGCAATAGAATTACATAAAGTGAAGTAGAATAACGCGAATTTTTTTTGAAGGTCCTTAATATTAAAATTTTATAAGATGAACGATATATAATATATTTATAGTAGGTAAGGTCTCTCAACAGTTCTACAAAGAAAATTTGACTCAAAGAAATTTTGCTTGGCTCAGAGAAATTTCAGCTTGACTTAAAGAAATTTCGAAATTCACAATTAAAATTTCTCTGAGTCGGGTAAAATTTCTCTGAGTTAATTTTTTTTGTAAAAATATTAAAAAGCCTTAGCTAATAAAAAAATATCTAGAATCTCTTATACTACATAAAATTAGAGAGTAATATTTCATTAATTTTTCCAAAAATGATTGGATAAGCTATTAAATTTTGAAAACACACTGAAATATTTGTGTGGGGGAGATGGTGCGTTAGGAATTGGTTGGGATTAGTGGTTTCACATGGCTCTTCTCACTTATATGTCATGTCTCATTGAATTCAGCTCTTGCTCCCTCTTTAGACTTTCATTAGAAGGCTCTATCTGTACAGAATTTTTTTTTGGGAGCTGCTGCAGAGCTCTAATTTAAACTTCTGCTGTACAGCTCTAATAAATTATCTAGGAATAAAAAAAAAAAATAGTGAAGTTAAAGACAAAAAAAAAGAAAGAAAAAGACAAATTAGAGCTCCATTAAAGGTGTTTTTTTAGAAGTCTAAATCATTTTTCTTTTTTTTTTCTCCTAAAATAATGACAATGGGTGATTTCGAATTGGCATATTAGTAATTTTTAAAATTTTTTAATTAAAAAATATATAGAAAAATAAAAAGCAATATAAATTGTCAAATTAGTCTGTAATATTTTAACTTAATATTAATTAATTAAAATAGTAACATTTAATTTTTTTATTATTAATTTTTTTTATTAGATTGGTAAGAAATAAATTAACAAATATTAAGTGATAAATGGTGAACAACAATGCTTGAAGATGACATGTCCCTCTGTTGACGATCCAAAAGTCAATCATGTATAGTCGGCCGAATGTGATTGGATAATGCAACAATAAAAATCAAAGTGTAGACCAGACCATTAAAGTCTCATTTTGACTTTTCAATCAAGGATGTGATAGTGTCACAGCCTCCCCTGTCTTTTCCAGGACCATTTTTTAATATTTTATTGTTTTCTTCAATTTGCTTTATGTTCTCTTTTTTGAGATTGGCCTCAATCATCTCCCTCCCACTGTACCTTTGTCGACATTGATAATTCATTTACGCAGGGCTTGATTCATTAGACTGGGTTGTTTGAGATTATTTAAATAAGTATATTTTTTAATTTTTTATAAAATATAATTTAGGTATAAATTAAATTTAAAATAATATAATAAAAAAATGATATGACTTAAATAGAATAATAATTTTTTTAATTTTTTTAAATTATAACAAATAAGGCATAAATTAAAATAGAAGGACCATTTCATTAAAATACTTATTTATTCACTTTTATACTATCAGCACAAACTCAATTCGTATATTCACTTTATTCTTTTATTAAAGGATGGACTTAGAAGTAGGAGTGTTTACAGATTGATTTTTGACGATTCAGTTTGTGGTTTGAACTTATTTATATGTCTGTGGTGGGAAAAAAATTGAACCCGTAATCATCCATAATGTGAATTGTAGTTTGTGCGGATAGGATTCACGGATATGTGGACAGTTCACAGATTGAGTTTTTTCCTTTAAAAAATTATTTTTTAGCTTGTTTTTTTTTCCATTTTTTAAATATTTTTTATTGTGGGAGATTTAACATATGTCCTCCATTAAAACCGGATTACAAAAAATTAGATTGAAAATTAAATAAAAACTATCGTAAAAAAAAATAATCACATAACTAGATTTGTAAAAAATTAAAAAATTTCAATTGAATAATAAATATTTCATACAAGGCAGTGTGATATTATTATAATAGTATAATGTTAGCCTACAGGTTTGATAATCAGATTAAAGTGAGTACGAGAAGAGAAGATTAAGGTTACATATTTACAAAACTTACAAGAAAATCTGATGGTCCAGATTTAAAAATAATAATAAAAAAAATTG